TGCTCACTCTCACGCTCTCTCACATAGAAATAAAATCTTGAATCCAAATCCCTAATGAAGAATTTGGAAAGATTTTTTCTCCCAATATGCATCCCCATTCCTTAAAGGAGCACATTCAGGCAAATTGCTCAGTACAGACGCAGTCAGTGTTAGCTCCCAGTACCCAGCAAGGCCCAGTGGTCAGGAAATCTGGATGATGAATGAATGAGCTCCTTGGTCCAAGGGTTCCGGTCTAATTTAGTGGCCGGGGTACCCCCACCAGGGCCTGGTCCAAGCTATTTATTTGTGCACAGCCAGATGGGAAAGCTGCACTCTCAATTCTCAGGAGCTCTAGGCCTTGCAAACCTTCTGAGTGTCACCCTGTGCTGCCTTTTGGGACAAGCTGGTCCCTGGTGGCATAGTGGTGCACCTGGGGATCATGGGAACCGGGAGCAACCACTAGACGTTTTAACTTGAGAAGGGACGGAGTGTGGTGTCCAGGAGCAGAGTAAAGGCAGGGAGTCAGAGAAAACCAAGTCTCTTGGACAGGCCTAGAGCCCGAGAGCTAAAGGCAGAACAAGGGAGCCCAGGGCCATCTTGTGCCTTACTCCTCAAAAGATGGTCTGTGGCATTAGAATCTCCTAGAATCTTGTTTGAAACCCAGTCCTCACCCCGCCCCCCAACCCCGTGAGTTCCGCAGCACCGCCCTCTGCTGGCCTCACTGCAGCCACTTTAAGTAAACCGTGAAGCCGGGACGAAGTCAATGCTGCAAAAACTTTCACTTTAACTGCAGCAAAGCTGGGCATCTTGTTAAAATACAGACCGATAGGTCTGGGGTGAGGACTGAGATCCTGCGTTTCAAACAAGGGGCGGGGGGGGGGGAACTGAGGGAGGACAGCAAAGATTCCATCCCCGACTTCCTTCCCTTGAGGCTATTCCTAGTAAGAACTTTGGGCAAATGCTGGAATATCTTCTTTGCACAATAACAAATGGCTTGTGATAAAGAAAACAAAATCTGAGGCCACCTGGGTGGCTCAGTCAGTTGGGTGTCCAACTCTTCTTGATTTTGGCTCCAGTCATGATCTCTGGGTCAGGGGATTGAGCCCCTCCGGGGGGCCCCTCGAGCTCAGCAAGGAGTTTGCTGGAGATTCTTTCTCTCTCTCTCTCTCCCTCTGCCCCTCTCCCGCTTGTGCAGGCTCTAAATAAATAAATAAAATCTTAAAAAAAAATTCAACTGAGTACATTTTGAAGATCTTGCTGGCTTTATTCACTAATAGGCAGCATCCCATTCACAGATAGAAAGGAGCTCTGAGGGCAACCCCGGGTGGCTCAGAGGTTTAGCACCACCTTCAGCCCAGGGTGTGATCCTGGAGTCCCAAGATCGAGTCCCACATCAGACTCCCTGCAGGGAGCCTGCTTCTCCCTCTACCTCTCTCTCTCTGTGTCTCTCATGAATGAATAAATAAAATCTTTTTTTTTTTTAAAAAAGAAAGGAGCTCTGAGGATCCATACATTTTGTAGGAGCAGGACAGAGTTACTTTCATAGGCAGAAGGGAGCAGGACAGAGTTACTAGTGTCAGGCAAGGTCACCTTCCTTTAGGGGACAACCGGGACTTGTCAGACAGATTACCTCATCAATAATTCCAGATCGATTGATTGGTTCAACCTAGAAGAAATTAAAACTGTAATTAAGTTAGGTATTAATTCTTGGTTTGGCAACATGGACTTAGCACAAGTGACTCCATTTGGGAGCCTATTGTCTTTTTTTTAAGATTTTATTTATTTATTTGAGAGAAAGAGAGAGTGAGAGAGGGGGCACATGCAGACTCCCTGCTGAGCAGGGAGCCCCACGTGGGGCTCGATCCCAGGACCCTGGGATCATGACTTGAGCTGAAGGCAGATGCTTAACCAACTGAGCCACTCAGGGGCTCTATCTCTTTCTTTTTTAATACTTGAGTTCACTGATAATCACCCCACTAAGTGTTTATACAAACATATGAGGGACTGGGGAATCCATGAGAATAGGGCTTGGTCCTTATACTGGAACTCCCAGAGAAGGTATTGTCTTGGTGTAAAGTATCCCTGAGGCAAACCCAGCTGCATGGCATATGACCCCATCAGTCAAACAGGACCCCATGTTCAGAGGATCCTTCACTTGCTTCGGTGCTCTGCTGTCACCTTCTTGAAATTCTTAATAATTTCATCTTTCAACTTGTGTTTTTTAAGTGACGTCCTTTGGGACAAGGAGCATGCACATGAGCAGAGGAGATGCATGCAATATGTACGCCCGTCCTGTTCTGGCTGCCTCATCTGCATGCAGCATTCATGGTGCCCCAAGACTACAGAATCTGTAGGAGTTCACAGAGACTCAAAATGACTTCAAAGGAAAGCCACTGGCTTCCACGGAGTGTTGGGAAAATGTGTGTGCTTCAAGAAGTAAAACAAAAATAGGTAAGTTAGTTTTTTGCCTGATTTATACTGTTCTGGCAAAACCAAATGCATATGCATGTACAAGCTACAAAATATGAATTGAGTAGTTTCAACTACTTCACATAGAAATGAAATATTCTTGTATTTCATTCAAAGCTAACATTGCACGACATAAACAGTAAAATTCATAATAATTTAAATTTTAAATTTTCTTTACTTAGAACATTACATCGTGATTTTAAAAATCATACTAAGTACAGAAACGCTGAGGGAATAAAGGAAAAAAGCTTTATATTTTAGTACATTTAATGGCACTATTTTCTTGCTTTTTGAACAAGGGGCCCATATTTTCATTCTGCACTAAGCCCGACAATTTATGCATTTGGCACTGCCCTGAGGGGAGGAGGCAGGGAACAGTTGGTGCCAGTGGCCTGAGCTCTCCAAGGTGGTATTTGCCTCTGGTCTTCAAGTAACTAGATCCAATGGCAACATGATGCCTGGAGAGGTGTCCCTGTTCCTTAGCAGCCAAGGCCTGTGCTTATTTGTGATATAAAGTGACATTTCTTTCCTCTTACTGCTTTCCCCTAGAAATGCTCTTTGAGTCCATTTGTGTGTGTGTGTGTGTGTGTGTGTGTGAGCATGGGCGTGAGCATGTCCCCTCAAGAAATTTTCCTCTTCTGCCAAGAAAAGGAGAGGGAAAAGGGAAGGACACTGCGTGTAGAAAAGATACCTAGACGGTCCCCTTGGAAGGTGCAAGCTGATTGGAGGTGAGGCTAGGATGGGACCACAGACTGGACTGAAGGGGATGGGGGGGTCTTAGGGAGTCCAGGCCGTCTTGTGATAACAAACAAAACCCAAACCTCCTTATGCATGTTCAGTGTTGACCAGGCAGCTGCCTTCCATGCAACGGCTTGGACGCAGGCCTCTTGCATTATGTGGCTCCACTTCTCACACTCCCTCACTTCCTGGCACATCAGTTCCGTGCATTTTCTGTTGGCTAAATCCAGTCACATGGCCCCAACTAAGTGGAAAGGGAACTGAGAAAGTAGCTTTTCTATTGGCCCATGTGTTAGTCAGGGTTCTCCAGAGAAACAGACCAATAGGAGATACACACACACACACACACACACACACACACACACACAAAAGATTTATTATAAGGGATTGGCTCATGCAGTTATGGAGGCTGACAAGTCCCAAGATCGGAGTCATCAGACTGGAGACCCAGGATTGCTGATGACATCTGAAGGCAGAAAAATACCCCAAATGTCCCAGCTCAAAAGCAGTCAGGCAGAAGGAATTCTTCTGTACTCGTGGGAGGGTGAGCCTACGCACACCTTCACCTGATCAGATGAGGCCCACCCACGTTACAGTGGATAATCTGCTTTACTCAGGTTACTGATTCAAATGTTAATCTTATCCAGGAAACCCTCACAAACACACACAGAATAACGTTGGACCCGGGGGATCCCTGGGTGGCTCAACGGTTTGGTGCCTGCCTTTGGCCCAGGGTGCGATCCTGGAGTCCCGGATGAGTCCCGCGTCAGGCTCCCTGCATGGAGCCTGTTTCTCCCTCTGCCTGTGTCTCTGCCTCTCTCTCCCTCTCTCTGTGTGTCTATCATGAATAAATAAATAAAATCTTTTTTTAAAATAAATAAAATCTTAAAAAAAAATAATGTTGGACCCAACACCCAGTCACCTCTGCTGCCCAGTCAAACTGACACATACAATTAATGTGGACAGCCCAGGAAGAAAATGAGAGTTTGATGAGCACACAGCGTGTTCTGTGGGAAGGGCTGGATAGCAAGGAAGGCTGTTTTGGTGCAGAGGAAAAGTGATCTGTGGTGGGAATAGTTCCCTGGAGGGGGAACATGTGCTGGAGGGGCCCGCTCAGCTCCAGGCCCATGAAAGCCCTGGAGGAGGGCAACACACAGCAGAACCCCCGGTGTGCTCTCACTGCTGGGCCTGGGGGCTCCTACCTTCCTGTAAAGGGAGACTCTGGTGAGAACATTTTGTACGTTTGATAGTTTTATTAGATCCTGTGGCACAGGTAGGAGTTGAAGAGTTGCCCACAAAGGGAGTAGGGGTGCTCAGCTCCCCAGGAAAAGCTTGGGAGGGACTCTTTTTATGTGGTAAAGTTGCATGCTCACTCCTGAGGTGTAAGCCTGACCGCATATTCCCAGGAAACCTGAAGAGCATGCTCCTCGGAGAGGCCAGAACTTAGGGCAGGGAGGAGCTGGGGCCCCAGGAGACTTGGCATGGATGTGGGAGCAAGAGACAGAAACGGCACAAGTTAACTCCCAGACACACAAACACATAGGAGCCTATGGTCCCAGGCCCTTCTCCTTTGTGGTTTTGTTTTGTTTATTTATTTATTTATTCATGAGAGACACACAGAGAGAGGCAGAGACCCAGGCAGAGGGAGAAATGGGTTCCCCGAGGGGAGCCCGATGTGGGACTCGATCCCAGGACCCCGGGATCACACCCTGAGCCAAAGGCAGGCGCTCAACCCCTGAGCCACCTAGGCACCCTGGCTCTTTGCATCTTGATTGTCCAGGCCAATGGAGCAGACATTGTCTGACAGTTTGACGTTGAGGGTCATATCAAATATTTATTCAAACGAGAAAATGTTGCATAATGTGATCACAACTTTTGGTGGGAGGGATGCATGTGTATCTGTGTATGTGTGCTGGAAAACAAGTAGGGGATGTGAAATAAAACATTAGCTGTACTTTTTAAAGAGTTGATTTGAAAATCCTGGCAGATGCAACAGCACACTTTCTGCCATCCCACGTAGTCAGAGCACCTGCGTTGGTTCACAGCATGGTTACCGATGAAGGCAAGACCCGATCATCTTAAAGTTCCACTCTGGAGTTAGCAGAGCTCATCTCAGGTCCATAGGAGGCCAGGAACAATAGGTACCATGACTATTAGCCATGTTGCAATCCAAGCTACTCCAGAGGATTTGGCTGAAAGAGCAATAAAACTCCAAACACTTAGGTGACTTGACTATAGGAAGGAAAAGGCTACTTCCCCTCTCCATTCTCCACCCCACGTCCCATCTATATCAAGAGAGAAAAAGGGAAGAGGAAGACAGATAGGAAGGGAGGGGAGAGAAGGGGTAAGAACAGAGGAGAGGGAGGACAGGACAGGAGAGGAAGCAGAAAATAAGAACAAAAAGGGAACAGTGATAAAGTGGGGAAGGGAAATTAGGGGCACCTTTCTAGGATACACTGGGTGGCTGGAAAGTGACAAGATTGCTTCAGCCCTCCCAAAAAAAAAGGGCCATGTTACTGTTTTCATCCTCTTTGCAGATGAGCAGTCGCCCTCATTTTATAAAGGACAGGGGACTGTGTCTCTTCTTTTTGCTGGATCTCAGGATGTGGTGTTGATTTGAAGGTGGTGTCATGGTCAGACACCAAACTGTCACATCAGGTCAGTGATGGCAGGAGAGACTAGTCTTCTAGTCTAGTCTGGCATGACCAGTCGGGTGGGAAGAATAAAGACGAGTGTACAGGTTCCATAGTCCGCATGTGGGAGCACAGGTGAAGAAATTAGCACAGGTGGGACAGTGGACGGGTCCAGGAAGACCAGGAAAGAGCAATGTCTCTGGGGCTATGGTCCCTGATGACTGGCATGACGGGGAACTCAAGTAAGCGCTGGCACCACAGGTATGACTTATCCTGGAAGGATATGGATATGTATCCTCAGGGATGTGGTTTCCGGGGTATGGAAAGTACAAGACCCAGAATGCTGGAGTTAGTAATCCAGGTTTATTGAGGGTTCCCCCCCTTGTGTCTGCAGAATTGAAGGAACTGTTCTAATTTAAGTACCATTCATTGAAGACTGGTCAGGCACTGTTCCAGGTAGGGTATCTGTACTGCCTCATTTAGTCCTTAGAACAGCATGAGATGAGGATTACTACTTTGTCTGTTATTTAAGGAAACAACTTGGAGAAGGACATGGACTTGGAGAAGCTAAAGTCACTTGCTTAGCTATTCAGTGTCAGTCCCAGGATTAACCCCAAATACTGGACTCTGAAACCTATGAGCTTACTGCCCAATCCTGATTATCCCACAATAGGACCTGTGTAGGCTTGACAGAGGGCCAGGAGTGATGCTCAGATGAGTGGGTCTTCCCTAGAGAAAGAAGCTGAAACATGAAACCCAGAGTCTGCCTTTCTAAAGAGCAGAGTCCCTACCTTAGGATAAGACCTTCACTCCTGTTCTCTACTCGTTCTTGCTTGTGCTCATCTACTTGGCCTTTCTTTCCTTTGCTGATTTAAGCTTTCTGCTAGAAACTCTTCATGCACCCGCTCAACTGTGTCTGGTCTCCTCTTCCACCTGCGCTTCTTCCCTGCTCAACACTGACAGCTCCGATTGTCCTACAATTACCGAGGCCTCAGATTCTAGGACCATGCACTGTTAGACCAGGGGAGGAGAGCCAGCTGCCCTCCCAGGTGAGGACAATGAGCTCCACAAAAGCCAGGTAAGCTTGCTGAGGGGTGGGAGCAGAGCCAGGGGTAGGACCTGTGTCTCTCAGGTCTCACAGATGCCTTTGGGATCCTCCATCTGGGCAGGAGGCTGAATAGGATCCTCATACCTTTCTTCATTCATTTCATTCAAAAGAAAACTCATTACCCCATTCCTGCACTCCCCACCCCCACGCCCAGCTCCTTGTAAGCATTCCTTACCTAGTTTACACAGTGAGCTGAAGTAGATGGTGTCATTCTTGCTGCTCACAGGATTGCTGGCTTGGCAGGTGTAATAGCTGGAAAAATTTTGTCGGTAAACAGTAATTTCAAGCACAGGACTCTGGAGATCTGTGGGCAAGGGCCCTGAATCCCCATACCAGGTGTAGTTTGCTGATTGGCCTGAGATCTCACATGACAGTTTCAGATGACAGCTATTGTTCACCTCCTGTAACGTCTGAATTTTGATGCCAGGTTTACGTACAGGATCTGAAGATGAGGAAGATGTTGTAAGATGAGACAATGGGTTTATGCATTTATAAGGCACTTCCGCTTTGAACATTTAGCCAACAAAATATCAAGGGAGGTAGGGAGGAGCGCTGAGTGCTGCGGAAAGTTGTGTCATGGAGAAGGCACCCCCACAGGGGGAGCTAGTGAGCAGCTTTGACCTCTGGAGGTTCAGACTGGAAGGGCTGCTCCTTGAGGGTGAAGCTAAAATGGATCCAGGAGGGGGAGCCATACACCCAGAAACAAAATGGGTCTATGCCTATAGGTCAGAAAGAGCTTCAGAGATCTCTTGGGGTCAGACTTGGTATCCCAGTTGTCTGAGCTACCTGAGGCTCCTTCTCCCGAACCTGGCCCACAGTTGGCACCTTGGCCTGTCTGTCCATCCAGAGTTCTTGGGCTCAGATTCAGCCAGAGTCCTGGGGTAAGAAGTATACCCTGCACACGGCAAAGCCCTTTCCTGGAATCTGGAGAAAAACCTCATGTAATCCCCACGTCATCTGTGATGAACAGCATTGTGTCTGTTGACTTTGGTATCTCAGGGTTTAGCACAGTGCGTGCCGGATAGGAATCTGTAAGCATCCGATGAAAGGATGGATGGATGGATGGATGGATGGATGGATGGATGGATGATGGATGATGGATGATGGATGATGGATGGAGAAGTCATGAGAAACAAAGGACAAGTCAGTAGCTTTGGAGTGAGACCAGCCTCAGTCTGGGACATGGCTCTCATGGAGTGACGTTATCAAGATCATTAACCCCTTGAATTTCCTTCTCAGGAGTACACAGACTCTACCTCATAGCCCAATGTTAGTAAGAGAAAATGGCATCGCCCATGGGGAAGTGCTTCTTGCAGGGTGCAAGTGTCATATGCATGTCAGAGCTCACAGGGTCATCACTGCTGTCATCCTGCCACCAGATGGGATGAAACAGAATCCCAGCATCTGCTCCTTCCTTTCCTGGGGCCACTTTACCTGAAACCCTCTGGCGACTTTTCAATCTGGCCGTGAGTAAAACACCTGCAGAATCAGTGCTGCTCTGGTGTCAAGGATTAAATGTGCCAGAGCCTTGACGGGATCAGAGCTGGCCTCTGGCTGCCAGCGTGTGGGGAGGTGAAGGGAGCTCCGCCTCCAGAGCCCTAGACCCGCCTCCTATGTGAAATCCCCTCAGATTACAGGACTTCCCCTGCGTGCTTAGATTGGGCAACTTTTTTCTATTTTCTGCCATTTCCTATGGCCTCACCTCTCTTGCTTCTGTCTTCCACATTTCACACTGTGAGCAGCACACACTCGGTGCTTTATGGATGGGATTCATTGAGCCATCCGGGGTGTCTGGCTCTACGATGCCCCCTCTGAACTATCAGAAATTCAAGGGCAATGCTGAAGAATGAGCTTTCTGCTAATCCCATCCTAAGGGTCTTACTTCAGGAAGGTGTGCTTACATCACACCAGCTTGTGGAATTTCAAATATTCAGAAATGTTACAAGCTAATTGTGAAATCATTAGCGCCTTGGAGCTGGCTGTGATGGGAGTATTTACCAGAAATTGGTAAATGATACAAATTTGGGCTTTTCTTAACACCACCATATGAGACTTTGAATCTTTTCCTTTTCTCAGGAATTTTCAGGCCATGTGACTTGGAGGAAATATGTGAGAAGAGGCCTCCAGCCTTGGAGACATTGAGAGGGTGGGGCCTGATTGTATAAGACACTCTTCATTTCCACTGTTTTAGAGAAGAAAGAGGATTACAGATATATTCTGAGTATTGTCTAGAGATTTTGTATTTGTTTTTTTTGGTAATTATCTGGTAGGAGAAAATTGCATGATAAAAGTATTTGGTTTGGAAAAAACCTCTCATTTTCACTTTTTGATGTTTCACTCCAATTACCTACTTTGATTCTCATAACATCCTAAAAGGAAGTGCTCACTCGTGGCACATATACTAAAAATAGAACAATACAGAGAGGGCAGCCCGGGTGGTTCAGCGGTTTAGCGCCACCTTTGGTCCAGGACCTGACCCTGGAGACCTGGGATCGAGTCCTGTGTCGGGCTCCCTGCATGGAGACTGCTTCTCCCTTTGCCTGTGTCTCTGCCTCCCCCTCTCTCTCTCTCTCTCTCTGTGTGTGTCTCTCATGAATAAATAAATAAACTCTTTAAAAAAAAAAAAGAACGATATAGAGAAGATTAGCATGGCCCCTCTGCGAGGAGGACATCCTAAAAGGAAGATATAATTATCCTCATAATATGGGAGCCCCGCAGCTCTCAGGGAGATACCTGTCTCGGTCTGCCCTGCCTCTCTTCTCTAGTTTTTACCTACCTCAACGCCACAGAGGCGTCCTCAAGAACCACGTTTCTGTGTTTTCACCTGACCCTTTGAGCCATAAATATTTCAGTCAGATACACATACCTGAACCAAGTTGGTTCAATCAGTTTCTGTCTTTAAATTCTGATAATTTAAACCAAGAGTTACAAAAGTCTGGGCTTTCAGAGGTAAGTCATGTAAATGGCAGAGATCCAGAGGCACAGTCCACAGATTCCTGAAGCTAGGGATTCCGGGCTGGCCCTGGTTTTCATTCTTCCTCCTGTTCAACCTTTCCTAACTCTTCTAAGTTCCTTGAATTGCTTCAAAATAGTTTTAGTTCTAGTTTCTTTAATAGACCTCCTCCCCCTCTCTCTTTTTTTTTCCCTAAATTTACATCAAATTGGCTTCTGTTACTTGCCATCAAAAGAACTTACCTAATATGGGCACAAAGATGTTAACGATCTTTCTTCAAAGTCACACAGCAAGTAAGTGAGCTAGTAACCAAGGTTTTTAACCCAGATCTATCTGATCCCAAGTATAATCCTAGTCTTTATTCCACATATACCAGTTAGGCTGGAACTACAAGTGGAAGTTTCTGACCTATCCATTCTGAAAGGTAGGAAAAAAAAAAAAAAACTTCCTTTAACAGCTCCTGCCCTCTGTCTCTTGTCACTTTTTTCCTTAAATCTGATGAAGTCTGGGTTCATGTATATTATTAAGATGAGCACAGAACTGAGCTCACAGGGTTGATCAGAGGAAAGCATGAAGAGAATAGAGAGGAAGTCATTTCTATGGTTTTTCCCCTCTCTTCACATCTGAGACTCACTAAGGTCAGAAGACGTAAAGGTCCCAAGGCTATCAATTTGGGCTCTGCTGGCCCAGGCTCACTCCCCAGAGGAACTGGCTCCAGGAGAAATGAATTAAGCCTGTCCTTAGATTTCTCTTTCTTCCTCCCAGAGAAAGCCTCCATGAGACCTAGGAAACCTCCCAGTGGTCCATCCGGGGCCCTGAGTGGGCCTCTCCAAACTCACCAAGTACCTCCAGTGAGATAGTCCAGTCCTCCTCTTTTCCAGAGTCCTTCAGCACCCTCAGGATGTAGGTGCTGCTGTCCTCTTTCCGGACCTTGTAGATGCATAGTGCATACCTTTCATCAAGACTAGCTCTGTTCTTAAACTTAGAATTGAAGAAGTTAGTCCTGTTGGACTCCCATTCTACAATCTTCTGGTTGGCGGTGTAAAACCAGGTGACCCTGGAGAGAGCAGGCAAATTGGAGATGTGTAGGCTCACGTTGCTGCCGGAGACGGCGATCATCTGACGTTGTGAATGACCTGCCAATGAGAGTGAGAGCCATCTTGGAGAAGGGAGAATGGCCCAGCAGCGGAGGCCTGAGCTGGTGGGACAGGGGAGAGAGAAAGGGTTTCTGCTTAGAAGCAGTAAGTACAGTCTTCACCAGAGGCCTGGCCCTTGATCGGAAATTCAGTAAACGTTGGAGCTTGAAGCGTGGGCATGGGGGTAGGGCACAGTGCTGCTTCCATGTCAATTAATAGAAGTAGTGACAACAGACAGCCCAGATCAGTGTTCTTCCACCTTGGCACTATTGACATTTTAGGCTAGATAATTCCCTGTTGTAGGAATTGTCCACGTGCATTGAAGGATGTTCAGCAGCATTCCTGGCCTCTGCCCACTAGGTATCAATAGCACATCTCCAGACATGACAATCAAAATGTCTCCAGATATTGCCAAACGTCCCACCCCCATTCAGGCTGAGAACTACTGGCCCAAGTCATCCTTGGCAGACTCTCCAACATATGCCCAGGAAGATAGCACAACCCACAGTGAACCACTCCTTTGTGCACATCTTACGCATGCCTGTATCTTAGGAATCATGTTACACTGAAGTGATCTGTTTAATGTCTACTACCTTCTTCTGCCACCAGACTATAAACTTGAAATGACTCCTGGGAATCTAATTCATTTTCCATTATACTGTGATGGTTAAGAGCATGGGTTCTGGAATCAGACTGCCTCAGTTCAAATCCTGGCTCTACCACTTGCTAGCTATGTCAACTTGAACATGTTACCTAATGGCTCTGTCTTTGTTTTGGTAACTATCTCTTAGAGTTTGTGACGGTTACGTCTATGGGTCAATTTGACTGGGCTAAGCGATGCCCAGACAGCTGTAAAACATTATTTCTGGATGTGTCTATGAGGGTGTTTCTGGAAGAGATTCACATCTGAATTGTAAACTGAGTAAAGATGATCACCCTTACCAATGTGGTGGGCACCATAATCCAATGGGGGCCCAAAAAAAACAAAAGAGCAGATGAAGAGCAAATTTGCTCTTTGCTTGAGCTGAGATATCTATCTTCTCCTACCCTTGGACATTCGTGCTCCTGGTTCTTGGACTTGGACAACGACTTACACCATTGGGCCCCCTGGTTCTTAGTCTTGCAGATTTGGACTGAAACTCCACCACTGTCTTCTCTGTGCCACCAGCTTGTAGATGGCAGATTGTGAGACTTCTCCATACAGAGAAATACCTTGTATGGGTTATGCTTCAATAATAGCATGAGACAATTCCTCACAATAAACCTCTTTCTATACATTTATATATAGTCTATTTGCCCTGGTTCTCTGAAGAACTCTAATACAGAGTTATATTAATAAAATGCTTAGAATATAACTTAGTACAAATAGTCAATCAATACAAATAAAGTGCTTAGAATAATACTTGGAAGATTAGTAAGTATTCAATGTCATGTATTGTTTTATTATTATTATTACCGACATTATCCATACACCTAGTACTATGCCTAAGTTATTAAGATGTTTAACAATTGGCTGTTGAACTTATTTTATTAGACCAAAACAGTGGCAAAATAAGGACTAGACTAATGATATATTTTTTAGAAATGGATGTCTATACGAGAATCTGAAAGATTGAAGAATATGAAAGAAAGAGCCTAAAATCCAAAAAATTGTAGCAGCTCCTGAATCAGCTTTCATTTAAATTTAATGGTCTAAAAATAAAGGATGTCAGTATGCACAAGGTATAGCACAAAACCATGTCACTGGTCTAGGACATGTGGTGATGAGAAAGAGATCCCAGCACCTCTACCAGGACAGAGAACCTCCCTAAAACTTCCTTGGGGAGGGAGAAAGAAGGATGCATCCAATGAGAAAGAGTGAAGGATACAGAGCACACAGACTCCAGTTATGATCCAGGCCCAGTTGTACCTTGCACCCTTTCTCCTTGAGAGAATGGAATCTGCTTTACAAGGACAAAGAGATATGTTTGTCAAGGGTGTCCTCAACATGCTCAAGTGAACTTCAGAATTTAGTGTGAGGGGCAGGGAGAAACTATGCAGACACACAGTCACTGATTTTGTGAGTTTCTCAAAGGCAAAGACAATGTCTTGCTCAATTTTGAATCCCTACAATACTCGGTTGACATTTAGTATTAAGTAGACAACGAATGAATGGATGACAGTGACAAAATGTATACATTAGTGCTCCCAGTCTTTTTCTTCTCATGACCTCCTGCTAGTCAAAAATATTTTTCATATTTTTACTTTCCACTCAGCTTCTCCCTCTCTCTTGTTTCTTAAGATCAGTTTGAACTGATGAGGCAGTAAGGAAAAGAGTAGATAAGAAAACACCAAGACCACTCATGCTGGTTTAGGAAATAGGGGTGCTAGCACATTGGGGCTCAAAAGAGTAAGACTGGGGCAGTCCTGATAGCCCAGCGGTTTAGCGCCACCTTCAGCCCAGGGTGTGATCCGGGAGATCCGGAATTGAGTCCCATGTCAGCCTACCTGCATGGAGCCTGCTTCTCCCTCTGCCTGTGTCTCTGCCTCTCTGTCTCTCTGTCTCTCTGTGTGTGTGTGTGTGTGTGTGTGTGTGTCTGTCATGAATAAATAAATAAAATCTTTTAAAAAAAGAGTAAGACTGTTCAGGCAGTAGATGGATGAGATGGTTTGAGAAGACTGAAGAGGACAAGAAAGTTGGGTGTAGGAAGTGTTGCTGTAGTTTACAAATTAGATTTCCTTTAACATCTTTTGAGAGACGATAAGTAGAAATTTGAGTTGAGTTACTGTTTAATTACCTATGACCAATGAACTGTGTTTCTTCAATATGAAAATGTGCCCAAACCTGGCCAGCAGAGCCCTGTTTTATGGCTGGATCTTGATAATAATAAATGAATGAAAGATGACTATTATGACAAAGAAAGCAGAGAGTCAGAGTCAGTAGAAAAGATGCTCAGGAAATCTTAAAAAAAAAAAAAAATACCACAAAACAAAATCACCAAAACCCAAACCCAACAACATAAAAGTATGTTGAATATGGTATCGAAATTTTTAGATATCAAAAGTCAATGCAAAACAGCTAAAAGAAACCTTGAAATATAAATCCAGCAGCCTCAAATGGGCCAAGATCATGCTTGAAAACAGAAAATGGAAGAGTGAATTTTATTTTGAAATATTTAATGAAAGGGTGACCTGGAAAAGCAACATAAATCTGAATATAGAAGCAGTAGAAAGAACGCTTGGTTGACCGTTTAAAGAGGGATAAAAGATATTCTAGTCTTCTGAAAGAATTCTATAATTCATTCACAAATTAAAGAGAAATATGGCTTAATTTTGCTAATATAGATTGCAAAGTTAATGCGGAAACGAAGTAATACAATTTGGGGTATCAAGATGGTGGTTTTGTCGGCTAATTGTCTACTAAATTCAGATAAATTGATATCTTTCTTATCTACAGTATATTTATGTATTATTTCCATTTTTAAAGTAAATTGACAAAATCTTGATTTGCCTTCCTAACAATTGCATACATTAGAAGGCAGGGGAAGTAAGTGTAAAGAAAGTTAATTCTAACAGGAAGAAGTATCTGGTTATGTGTCTGGATGCATAGAAAAAACTATGCTTATGTGCTGTTTACAATAGAAAACGAAGCAGCTGTGTCTAGCCCTGTTTCTTGTCTGTAGAAAAGCAAAATTAGAGTGGGGCAGAGCCAGATCAAAGAAAGTGATTGTTTCATACCAAAGAATCTACCCACGAAAGTGAAAGAGGTCCTAAAGGGGAGAGGTTGTCATCACTCTAAAATCAGGTCACATGGTTTCTAGTATAACTATTAAGGAAGGAAAGACGTTTTAAAGATACTAATATTAGTTTTTTTAAAATATTAGTTTTAAAGATACGAATACGGAGTTACCAAGAGTTCGCTGATGAAATCAACTATCTAACCTTACAATCTTTTAAGTAAGTAATATTTAAAACTAAAGTATGATTGACATACAACATTATATTAGTTTCAAGTGTACGCCATAATAACACGACATTTGTATACGTTGTAAAATGATCACAAGAAGTCTAGTTTGATGACTTTCTGCAGTGTTATGCTTAGATTCCCTTCTCACTATCTCTTGTGGATCTGTTAGAGATTTTTGTTTGTCATGAGGCTCACACGTAACAGGCTATATATAGAACAGTCTACTTTAAGTGGATAGGAAGTTCAGTTCGATTGCATTCTGAGATGCTGCATTTTTACTCCCTTTACCATATATTATGTTTGTGATGTCACATTTTGCATCTTTTTATTTTGTGCATCCAGTAACTAATTATCGCAGTTACAGTTATTTTTACTACTTTTCTCTTTTAACCTTCATACTAACTTTCTAAATGATTATTCTGCTTCCTTTACTATATGTATTTACCTTTACCAGTGACACTTTTGCGCTCAACCATTGAACCATCCAGGTGCTCCTATCTTTGCTTTTTAAAATTCTTTTATCTTTTTGCTGCCCTGCTTATATTAGTGTCATTGACCTGTCTTCCAGCTCACCAATTATTTCTTCCACATCATCTAGTCTGCTATTGAACTCTTCTGGCACATTTTGCAGTTCAATTGTCACATTCCTCAGCTCTGTGACTTCTGTGTTTGGTACTTTCTTATATTTTCTCTTTGTTGAAGTTCTTACTGTGTTCATCCATTCTTTTCCTGAATTCAGTGAGTATCTTTATGACCATTCTTTGAACTCTTTATTAGGGATGCCTGGGTAGCTCAGGGGTTGAGTGTCTGCCTTTGGCTCAGGGCATGATCCTGGGATTGAGTCCTGCATTAGGGTTCTCGTGGGGAGCCTGCTTCTCCTCTGTGTATGCCTCTGCCTCTATCTGTGTATCTCTCATGAATAAATAAATAAAATCTCTCTAAAAAAAAGAACTCTTTATCAGATTACTTATCTCCATTTTATTAAGGTTCTTTTTTCTGGGATTTTGTCTTATTCATTCATTTAGAATATATTCTTGCTTTTCCTCATTTGGTTGACTCTCTTTGTTTATTTCTCTGTGTCAGGCAAAACAACTACCTCTCCCAATATTGAAGGGGTGGGCCTATGTAGGTGATGAATCTTATTATTTACCCCTGCCCTAGTTCTTGGTTGTCTCTTGCTCTCTCTCTAATTACTTCTGACCCACAGAGCCCAGAAACACAATCCCCCCGCCCAACCACCAGAAAGGATGTTCAAGGGGCATCCCTTGTGTGAGCTGAGTGTACCTGCTAGTTTGGAGGGACTATGGGAGGTGGGAAGGAGCAGGACAGTAGGAAGCAGCATGAAAGGGTAGAGCTGCATCAGCAGCACAACAAATCAGGTACTAGCAGGTTAGACTGAGTGCAAAAATGGTGCCCACCATCACTAGCAGGCTAGAGATAGAATGTAAAAAATGACAGCCACCAGCACCTCCATTCCTGGATAGAATCCCAACAGGCTTTTGTCCCTATAGCAGACCCTTTAAGATCATCAAATTATTCTCCTTCACATTTGACATAGGCTCTTTTCAAGCTGTGCTTTTGTGCTGGGTTGCAAAATGAGTGAATCTGCTTGTGAGCCCTTGAAGAATGGAATCTTCATTCCCTACAGCCCTATGGTTCTCCTGGATATAAGCTCCATTGGTTTTCAAAGCTAGATATTTAGGGGAGGCCTTGTCTCTCCAAGGCAGGTTCCAAGGGTTAAGGTGCCTGATATAGAGCAAAAAGCCCTTGTTCCTCAGGGAGGAGTTCTATATTTGTGAGAACCCTTCCCCATGGTGGGTTGCCATGCCAAATGTGGAATTTGGGTGAGACTGCTTCTCTGCCTCTCCTAACCACCTTGATACAGCCTTTTTATCTTTTGTTGTAGAATAGCTGTCCAGCTAATTCTCAGGTTCTTTTCAGACAGAATTGTTCTATATATAGCCATAGATTTGTGTCCATGGGAGGAGATGAGTTCAAGATATTCTTATGCCACCATCGTGAACTGCCTCCTATCTTAAGGAAGTAATTTGACAATAGATATCAGGACCCCAGATTTTTGTCATGGGTGGCAAGAAGAATAGAGTACTATTTCCTGAGATGGGAAGACTAATGATTTTACTTGGCCAGATTGTAATGGGTCAAGAATTCAATGGAAGGTGAGAAAGGAGAAAACAAAAGTAAGCTAGTCTAAGACATTTCAGTGTGAATGGGAAAGAAATTGGTAGGGCATTGTGTAGAGGGACATGACAGGTAAAAAAAGAGAGAGAGAGAGAGGTTTCTGGTTTTATCTTTTAGTTTTATTTAAGAAGGAAAAAGACAGCTATGATAAGTCAAGGGAAAGTACCAGTAGAGAATGAGACAAGGAAGAAAAAGAAGGTGATCAACGGCTCTGGACTGGAGGGAGCTCAGAGCAGAGTTAATGGCCCAGGTCTTGCCTGGAAGGGGAGATACGTCATGCTCTGAGGGAAAAGGGAGGGTGGAAAAGACACCTGGGGATATAGAGAAGTTTATAGTTTAGAGGTGGTAGGCAACAAATTGAGAGGAATTCTGCCTAATGATCTCTAGTCCCCATTTTTTCAGTGAAGTAGGAGGCAAATCCTTTGCTGAGATCCCAGCTTGACTGAAACAATGATTCACAACTTCCTCACTCCTTCCCTTTTTCCTTTCCTCCATCTATCCATTCATACACACACACACACACACACACACACACATATGTACATCAATGTATTCATTTATTCACTCTTCTAATAGATGTAGAGTAAGCACTTACTATGGACTAGGGTCTTTGGTAGGCATCATACATACAGTGAAAGAGATAGAGACACTTGGGTGGCTCAGTGGTTGGGTACCTGCCTTTGGCTCAGGTCGTGATCCTGGGGTCCTGGGATCAAGTCCTGCATCAGGCTCCCTGTGGGGAGCCTGCTTCTCCCTCTGCCTATGTCTCTACCTCTCTTTGTGTGTCTCTCATGAATAAATAAATAAAATCTTTAACAACAACAACAACAAAAAGAGTGAAAGAGATATATCTCCTTATCTTAGAGAGAACTTCCATTCTAGTGGATACAAGCAGATGATTCCACTATTGGTAATAAGTGTTGGGATAAGGAAAATATGGAATACTAAGGGAGCACGTCACTTGAATTTAGGGGTCAGGAGTGGCTTCCATAGAAACTGTGAGTAGAAATTAGTATAAGTAGAAATTATCCAGGGAAAGAGGAGGACTGGGAGTAATCAGTGTTCCAACTAGGGGAGAATAAAAGTATCAAGTGCTCAGAGACCACAGAAGCAAGATCCATTTAAGGAAAGAGAAGTATCTCAGGTGATTAGAGCATCAACCAGGGGAAAATAGGAAGTGACCACATTATCCAGTGCAAGCTTATGCTCACTGTCTGCTGTAACTCTTGCTCACCACGGTCACCACTGAAGAGTTTTCAAAAGAAGATAAACAGATAACCATTTTAGAAAATGTATACCAACAGCAGTATGGTAAATACTAGACAGAAGAATGGAGTAAAAATTTAAAAAAAAAGAGCTTTTAAGCAGGAGAGGAAAGTATTGTGGTAATTGATGGGAGAAAATAATGTCTTGGTTTAGAATAGGTGGTTTGATCTGGCAGGAAAGGTTGGTGGAATTAGATATATTTAAGAGACTTTTTGAAGGTATAATTAATAGAACTTACTCATTGAACATGATAGTCAAGGAAAAGAAAGGAAGTGAGGATGGCTTCCAGAATTCTGGCTTCAGTAATTGGACAAAGAGATGTCAAGTACTGAGAAAGGAAACAGAGAGAAACAGTAAACTACAATAATATTTTTTAAAGTCTGCATATTTTTTGACACTCATTCCATCAAGAGGTGGGTTCTATGTTCCCTCTCTTTGGGGCTGGCCTCCAGGAGCAGGATACAGCAGAAGTATGACTCACAAAGCACGATTAGAAAACACCATGCGGTGTTTGCCCACTTCTCTCAGTATACTCACACCAGAAGTTTCAGCTGCTATGTAATAAGCCCAGACACACAGTTATTGGATATTGCTCATCCTACGCACCAGCCACATGAGTGAAGAAGGCTCAGAGATCACCCCAAGCCCCGCCATGATCTGGTTGCATGCACATGAGATATACCAAGGCGCTGAGCACTATCCACCCCCACATTTGTGCACAAAATAGATGATTCTTATCTAAATCTGCAGAGTTCTGGTGGGTTATTACACAGCAAAAGACAACCAGAACAAAGATAATGAATTAGATTTCGGACATATGTTTGAAGAATGTGTAGATGTTTAAAAAGCTGCTAAAAATTCATGTCTTAAAAAAAATAATACTAAAAAAATAAAAATTCATGTCTGGGGGTAAAGAGGGAGCGTTGGGCTCTAAAGTTTACTTATGTCCTTCCCAGGCTCTCAGCTTCTCAGATTATGTGCATTACATTTGCAAAAACAATTCTACACCCTTTATTTGATTTGACCCAAATAATAACCCCTTGAAGAAATGGGAAGCATATTATTATAATACCCATTATAGAATTGAGAAAGCTGAGGCTCAGAAAGCATTTATGATTTATAGAAAATCCCATGGCCTAGAACTCAGAACAGAGGTCTTCTGCTTCCCAGTACATGCTGCTTCCACTGCACTCTGCCAAGTGCTGTGGGCAGACGGGGAAGATGCCCAGGGGTAGAGGGTACCTGAAATCAGAGAGCTGAGAAACAAGCCTGAAAAGGGATGAAAGAAGAGATTTAAAAATGCTTCTCAAATTTTTCCACAAAAGTACCCCTTACCAGGGAGGAGAGAACTACTAGGTCCCCAGGAAGATCTAGACATAGAGCCCAAAAGAAAGTTCTTTGAAGTCATTCATTCGTATATTTAACAATTATTTCTTGAACCCAGGCTATGTTCCAGGCACTCTGCTAAGTTTAGCACTGTACATGGTTTCTGTCCTCATGTCCTCCCAAGGATACACACAATCAAGCAATGCACCAATCACAATCTGGAGGTCTAAGGGAAGAAGTCACAAAAAAATGAAAGCCTAAAGGAGGGGCAGAAGGAGAGGACCGTGCAGTGAATCCTGGGCAGAAGAAAAAATCTAGCCATAACAGAGAAAGCACCTCCTCTGAGGCAAATAGCAAAGTTAAATGTAAATGGATATGATTAATAGAGGGGAAGTCATAAATTGGGGATAAGATGACCATCTGTAGGCATAATCCATGCATGAAGAGACTTAGACACCAGTCCTGATATATTCTGGTTCTCTTAGTAGCACTATCTTTCCCAAGACTTGGATTAATATTTCCCATCGTGTCTCTAGATTTACACAGTCATCAACCAGATCCAAAGTACTATCACTCTGAGAGGCCTGCAGGTGTGATCAAGAGGCTATGACTGAGCATGACTCTCTCCTCTCCCTAAAAGTTACACTGAATCTTATGATGCTGTGTTAGTTCCCTGTGCTTGTTCATTTTTACTCATTTTTTTTCCTTAGTAGTGAGCATTAAAGCCTCTGACGTGAAAAAGACCTGAGTATTTCTTAAGGGGAATGGTGAGAAAAGCAATAGCTTAACTCCCACTTCTCAGCTGACCTGAAAAGAAAGGAAGTGGAGGGTGAACAGTTGTACACGAGGGGGACCGGAACAGCCATGGCGGAGGAATGATCCTTAACTCTTAACAACTAGATGCTGCGGCCTCCTTTGATATGAGGCACCCCAGGCCTCTACTTAGACCCAGACTACAAAGCATGGAATTAAATCTAAGGAGCCTGCTCCCCCATCTCCCTGAGGTCCTGTTTTTGTCATAACCCCTTGGGAAAAGAGAGAGAGGCTGATTCTCTTAGGGCTCAGGAAGGTTGCCCAGCTCACCACAGCCCTGCTACCAGCATAGAAGTATCTGCTGCCCGGAGACCACACTCCACTTTCAGGACTGAGTCCCACCCTGTATCCCCTTTCCCATCTCACCCGTGCCTTCAGTGCACAATTGCAGGCACACGACTTGCGTAAAGTACCTTGAATGCTGGTTGCCAGGAACAAGTGAAGTAGAAGTAGACGTTCCAGAGCCAGACAGCACTCCCACCTTTGAGAGTTCATGTTACTTCCCAGGAATGCTGGAGACAGGCCAGAATCAGTCTAGAAAGGTTTCAAGACCAGAGCCCCTGAAATCATGGCCCAAAGTTAAAGAACAGCACTAGTTGAACTCTCCACCACTCTGCAACTCATGGGTGGAGTCTGAGACCAAAAACAGGAAGCCTCCATATCTGAGAGCACAAAAAAGTAGTGAAGTGAAATGAACTATTTTGGTTGAATGTGCGGTTGGTTCTGTTTTCTGAAGAGAGGATCTATAGCTTCTGTTGGATTCTCAGAGATGTCAGTGCTCTGAGAAGATTAATGTCAAAAAAAAAAAAAAAAGAAAGAAAAGAAAAGACCAGAAAAGATTAAAGTTCTCAAGTTCTCTGTTAGAGAATATCTGCCTTTGGTTTCCCAGACAAGAGTCACCCTGATTAATCCAGAAGTTAAAATTAGTAGGAATCCACCAAGCCTGCGGGGGATTTCTGATCTCAGTCACCTCAAGTCGTAAGAGAGAGGAATAGGTCATATATAAAAGGCATTCAGAGCACAAAGCCAAGAAATCAGATTTCCCACGTCCTAAGCTCCACCCTTTATGATAAAGTCACTGCTTACACCTTTACATTGGCCCATCTACTAAGCATTAGTAGAAAAAAATAAGATTACTTGGCCCCCCAAAAAATGGATTTCCCAGACTTATAGTCTTTGAAATTTCAGGTCCATCCCTCTTGAATCTAAATGGATTATTTGCCCATCTAAGGCACTTTGGGGACCCATAAGGCAAGCCACAGTCCCTAATACACCATATTTGTAACTATTTTTGAATTGGAGATATTTCTGATTTAACATAGAGGAACCCAGTAAAAACACTGCTCTCCTCAATCTGGGAACTCCTGTGATGGAACTAGTTACCCTTCCCCAAAGGATCACCATGGGGAAACTGAGTCAGCTCAATGCCTTAAATTGCACATGACATCTCATTCACTTGAACACATTGGAGCCCTGGGAGGTGAGCAGGACAGGCATTATTGCCTGCATTTTGTAGCTGAGTCTCAGAATCAGACCGAAGTTTACTCCAACCCACCCCAGCCTTCAGCTCTTCCCCTAATGTGGGCTACAGCAAATCTTTGGACTGGAAGAGGAGCTAAGACAGGAGTAGAATGAGCTAAGTTGAAGTGGGGTTAGCTAGACAAGATTTTAAAGCAAATTATACACAGGATACTGAGGAGAAGGAACAGACAGAGTCACAAGAGCAGAGTAAGAAAAAAGGAAGGAAGTGAAGTAAACTGTGGGTGGGCTTTGCTCATACCCTGATTCCTCCTGGGAGTTTTCAAAAGGGATCCACCCAGTGAAGCGTCTGAGGCTAGCCTGCAGGGGCTAACAGCATCTATTTCCAACCAGAATACGGGCACTACTTTTGCTGGCTGCCTTCTAGTTGGCTCCAGTAAGGGGCAGCACAGCACAGCAGGTGTCTGAGTAGGCTCCTGCTTGGCCACATCCCAAGGAGACTATAAGCGCAGGGCACCTGGGGGCAGGCCTAACATTTAAGATGTGAGCAGAGGGGGATCCCTGGGTGGCGCAGCGGTTTGGCGCCTGCCTTTGGCCCAGGGCGCGATCCTGGAGACCCGGGATCGAATCCCACGTCAGGCTCCCGGTGCATGGAGCTTGCTTCTCCCTCTGCCTGTGTCTCTGCCTCCCTCTCTCTCTCTCTGTGTGTGTGCCTATCATAAATAAATAAATAAATAAATAAATAAATAAATAAATAAATAAATAAAAAGATGTGAGCAGAGGAAAAGGACCCTCAAGAGGAAAATGAGAAGGATCCATCATCAGATAGAGGGGAGTCTAGGAGGAAGTGATGTCTCAAAAAATTGGATTCAGATTAGCAGAAAATGTATCCATCGAGTTTTTTTTCTTTTTTCTTTCCTGTTTTTGTTTTTATTTGCATTTATTGTATGCAGAATTTACTCCCAGGCCATACGTTTTTGTTTCTTCCGTTTCTTTTGGGACATCCTTTTCCTCTGTGCAACTCCCTCTTCTGGTTTAGGAACAATCTGCTCTTTGTCAGTGTCGTCTCAATGTGACAGGAGAGCTCATGTAGGGTTAATCCAACCATGAGCCCTGTAAATTCTACTCCACATCTTGGGAGTTTTATTCACCTGGATGTGCTCAATGACCAGAGAATCTACATCTAAACCCTTAAATTCAGCATTATTTTCTGCATTTTTAAGCATGCATTTTTAAGCTGAGTAAAAACTCAGCACCCTTTTTGGGCCACTGACCCTGTGTCCAGCCCCACTGTTTGGCCTGGGCACACCTACCAACTCCACCATCGTAGCAACAGAGTGGCACACATAGCTTCCACAAAGTGACATCCTTCATATACTTGGTGGCTTTTCAGATATGCATACCTTTGACAGCCTGGGCAGTTTCATGTGTGTTCTTAAACTGAACATGAAGATTTGAACCACTTGATTTGTGTGATTTTATAGGGCTTTCTGGGTCAAGTGAATAACATTTTCAGAGATCACCTCAGGCTGCTTATAGGAAGAGTTATCCATTGCATTTAATAATTGTGGGTCACTATTAACCTTACTCTTCTTTTTTTTTAAGTTTTATTTTTTTATTTATTTGAGAGAGATAGAGTGAACACACAGAGAGAGAGGGAGAAGCAGATTCCCCGCTGAGCAGGGAGCCCAATGCAGTGCTCAATCCCAGACACCATGACCATGACCCTAGCCAGAGGCAGATGCTTAACCAATGAGCCACCCAGGCTCCCCTCTACTGACCTTAAACTTGCTGAGAGCCACTTTAGTGGAAGCAGAGGCCAGAGTCTCCTATCCACTTCTCCTTTCTCCTCTTTACATATATCTATTATGTATTTCTTGAGCTCTACATCATTTCTCAGGATGTAGAAATGAAAGTTACACTCTTACCTGCTCTTACACAGGCCACAGTCTTGTGTTAAAATGTGGTTGCGAAAGGGAGAATTATGGGGCCACACAGAAGGACCACCTAACACAAACTGTATGGTCAAGGGAGTCTGCTGGGTGACAGTGGACAGGACCACCTAACACAAACTGTATGGTCAAGGGAGTCTCCTGGGTGACAGGAGGAGTATGACTCCTTGGAAGAGTAAGGGAAGCATGTTACACAAGGAAGATGAACATCATAACATCTGAGAAGCCAGAGAACTTGGCTAGTCCAGGAAACAGGATATTTTGTATGGCTGAAATAAAAGGAAAGGAAAAGAAACCAGGTCCAGTACCAAAGCTTTGGTGTGTAAATATTAGGAGTTTGGATTTCAGCCCGACCCTTTCAATGGGAGGTGAGTAAAGGATTTTGAGCAGATGGGTGATATGCTTTATTCCACAGGTTAGGGAGAAAGCTGATGAAGAGGAGGATGAGGCTGGAAGCAAGGAGATATTACAAGAATCCAGCCACACAATAATGAAGATCTCAGCAGCAGCCATGGTGGAGAGGTGATGAAAATACATCAGAATCAGCAGAACTTGATACCTGGTTTTGTATGGAGGAGATGGGAACAGGAAAAGGAAAAGCCTGCCTGCTGGCTTGGGTGACCAAATCAATGGGTTGGGCGGGGGGGGGGGGTGCGGGTGGCAGGCACGAGGGATAAACTCAGTTTGGAATATGTTCAGATTAAGATGTCTGAAACAGACTTGAATATGTGGATCTGAGGCTCAAGAGAGAGACCTGAGCTACATATCAGAAATTGTGGTTGAAGTCATACCATGTACAGGAAGGATCTCTCTTGGGAAGAATATGTAAAGCTAAAAAGGGCTTGAGGAGGAAATCCCCCATGTCTTAAGCCACCCAGGCTACCAAAAAATACCAAAGACTGAGAGGCCTTCCTCTCACATGCTAGAGGCTGGGAAGTCCAAGATCAAGGCACCAGCAGATTGAGTAACTGGTGATAGTTCATTGATGGCCCTCTTCTCACTGCATCTCTGGTGGAAGGAAGAAGAGAGCTCTGTGGGGCCTCTTGAAAAAGATACTAATCCCATTCATGATACTCTCATGACCCAGTCATCTTCCAAAAGCCCCAGCTCGAAATACCATCACATTAGGGATTAGGTTTCAACATGTGAATTTGGCAGGAGTGGGGACGGACAGAACAACAGGAGACTCAAACCTTCATTCAATAGCACCCTGATAATACCAACATCTAAGGAATAGTAAAGGAAGAAGCACTTACAAAGATTTGCCAGAAAACTGGGAAGAAAATCAGAGCACTGAAAAGGAACTTAATAGGAAATGAAAAAATTCAAAGAATTGAGATATTCACAATATCAAATGCTGCAGAAATGAAATGGAATACAGTTACAGAGACTTGTCTATTACAAAGTAAACAAATGGGTAAATTACAGAAGGAGAATAAGAAAATGCTCAATACACATGAAAAATGTACATTCATTCTAGGAATTAGGGAAATGGAAATCAAGCAAATAATGATAATATTGCCTATTAAGTTAAAAAAATAATTTGTTAGATTCCAGTGATGAAAAAATTAGAGGAAACCAGACACATATGCTGTTTATGGGAATATAGATTGTGCAGTTATTTAGGGGGGAAATTGGTATTTCCTGTCAAAATTTTAACTATATAATACCCTTCATACTTTGTTCTACTTGTAATAATCTATATACAGACACACTGGCACAACTGCACAAGGATAAATGAAACATAAAATGAGGGACGCCTGGGTGGCTCAGCGGTTTAGCTCCTGCCTTCGGCCCAGGGCATGATCCTGGAGACCTGGGATCAAGTCCCACATCAGGCTCCCTGCATGGAGCCTGCTTCTCCCTCTGCCTGTGTCTCTGCCTCTGTCTCTCTCCTGTGTCTCATGAATAGATAAAATCTTTAAAAAAATAATAAAATGATGTTCATTACAACATAATTTATAATGAAAGAAGTTGGAAATAACTTACAAATACCAACCAATAGGAAGCTGGATGAAAAATTATGGTATAAATACATTCAGGAGAAAATATGGAGCCATAATATAGAATGAGACAGAACTGAATGTATCAATCTAGAAGGATTATCTATGATATATTGTTGAAGAAAAAAGCCTATGAAAGACTCCT